GGGCTGTGGGGTGAGATGGGAACATGGAATGATGGGGGGATCGCTGTGGGGTGAGATGGGAACATGGAATGATGGGGGAATCGCTGTGGGGTGAGATGGGAACATGGAATTACAGGGGGGCTGCTGTAATTTGGGGGTGACACCCCCAAAGCCCCGCAGGGTGGGGGTTGAGGAGGGTCTCACCTTGGGGGGGCACGGGGAGCGCGGGGCAGATCCGGGGCGCTCGGGGGGGCTCAGGGAGCCGCGGGAGGGGCAGCGCTCGGTAGGGCTGGGCGGGGGGCTCGGCCCCCGGGTCCCCACGGRCCGGCGGCTCCATCTGCACACAGTCATGGACAAACTCCTCCTTCACCGGGCGCGGGGGGAGCACTGGGGAGGGCACCGGAGAGCGTGGGGGGCACGGGGAGCCGCTTTGGGGGGCTGGGCTGGCTCCGGGGGGGCTCCCCGCTGGCCCCGGGCCGGGGTCTCACCTGTGCTCGGGCTGCTCAGACCTGCCGGCAGAAGGGACGGGGATTTAGGGGCACTGCTGACCCCCTCTCGGCGAACCCCTCCCCAATCCGGGGGTCCCGGGGGTCCCGGCTCACCGCTGCCGGGGGTCCCCACRCGCTCGTAGTGGTAGGGGTTGACACAAACGCTGTCGCACTTGAGGTCGAAGGCGAAGCGGCAGAATTTCACGGGTTTCAGCTCGTTCTTGTGCAGGTCGGGCCAGCGCCAGAGCCGGGCGTAGATGACGTGCGGGAACCCCTTCCTGCCGGCCACCTGCGCGGGGACACGGGGCACAGAGAGGGGGTGACGGGTGGCGTGTCCCCCCCTCTCAGGGTGACAACAGCCAGCCCCGACAGCGGGATCCCCCCCGAGCCCCCCCAGAGCGGGGCTGGCGCCAGGCCGGGGGTCCCCGTGCGCCTCCGGCTCCAGACATAACAAACCCCCCCTCGATCCCCCCCAGGCTCCAGGGCTGCCAGACACTGACTCATCCCGGCAGGGGCGGCGCGGGGGATGCCGGAGAGGGGAGGGGGATGCGGGCAGGGGGGATCCACCCGCTCGCACAGCGCGGGGAGGGTGCTCGGGGGCTCTGGGGCATTCAGGATCCTCAATCCTGGGGAGGGGTCTCAGGGGGCTATGGGGCACCCAGGACCCCCAAACCTGGGGACGGCTCTTGGGGGTTATGGAGCACTCAGGACCCCCAAACCTGGGGAGGGTTCTCAGGGGCTATGGGGCACCCTGGACCCCCAAACCTGGGGAGGGGTCTCGGGGGCTATGGGGCACCCTGGACCCCCAAACCTGGGGAGGGCTCTCGGGGGCTATGGGGCACTCAGGATCCCCAAACCTGGGGAGGGGTCTCGGGGGCTATGGGGCACTCAGGACCCCCAAACCTGGGAAGGGCTTGCAGGGGCTCTGGAGCACCCTGGAGCCACAAACCTGGGGAGGGGTCTCGGGGGTTATGGGGCACCCTGGATCCCCAAACCTGAAGAGGGTGCTCGGGGCTTTGGAGCACTCAGGATCCCCAAACCTGGGGAGGACCCTCGGGGGCTATGGGGCACTCAGGACCCCCAAACCTGGGGAGGGCTCTCAGGAGTATGGAACACTCAGGACCCCCAAACCTGGGGAGGGTTCTCAGGGGCTATGGGGCACTCAGGACCCCCAAACCTGGGGAGGGCTTGCAGGGGCTCTGGAGCACCCTGGAGCCCCAAACCTGGGGAGGGTTCTTGGGAGCTATGGGGCACTGGACCTCCAAGTTTGGGGAAGGCTTGCAGGGGGCTCTGGAACACTCAGGACCCCAAACCTGGGGAGGGCTTGCAGGGGGTGTTGTGGGCCACCCGTGTCTCCCCCAGCCCAGGGGGTTCCGGCCCCCCCGAGCCCCCATCCCGGTGTCCCGGGGGTACCTGGAGCCGCCCGTCCAGGGTGCGCTGGACGGTGACGCACTGGCCGGGCTGGGCCCCTCCGGAGGTGACAGCGGCCACCAGCGCGTCCAGCTCGTCCCTCTTCTCCTTCAGCTTCCTGAGGAGGCTCTGGATGGCGCGGCGGGCGAAGGCCTCGCTGTCCCCTCCCTGCCGGTGGCACAGCAGGCTGTGCACGATGCCGGGGCCGCTGTCACTGCCCAGGGACATGGCGCTGCGGCCCTGCAAGGCACGGCGTYACCCTGCCTGTCACCCTGCCGCAGGGGACACGCTGTCCCCACTGCCCTCCCCTGCACCCCGCTGAGCCGGGTGCTGGCACAAGGGACGTGTGCCATCRCGGCATGGGGACACTTTCCAGGGATGCTGGAGGTCCCCGGGGTGGGGGGACAACACTGAGCTCCCTNTCGTGGCCCCTCATGCCCTCCACGCCCTCGCCGTCGCAGCCCGAGGAGCAGCAGTTGGTGTAGCCGTAGCGGAACGGGGTGCGCCGAGTGTCCAGCCAGGACCCCGAGGGGTCGTACCAGGTGGAGTTCAGGTTGAAGAAGGATTCTCTTCCGGAGGAGTAAATCATCTTGGGGTTGGAGGGGAAAAAAAATCTGGAAAAGAGAGGTTGGGGTCATCATCTGCCACATTTCCATTGAAATTCCCGTGAAGACACATCAGGGAGCGGCGCTCGGGTTTATCCCCGGAGCCTGGATCCGGAGGAGATTCCTGCGGTTACACCCAAAACCTCCTTCCCACCTTCCCTTTTGATTTTTTCCCCCTCCAGGAACAAAACCTGACCACAAGACAGCACAGCCCKTGGTGGCACCGCTGTAAACCCCGCCCTGGGTCCCTCGGGAGCTTCTCCCTCGGCTCAACCCCATCCCCCGTGCTCTGAAGGGTCAAAAGYGACCTCCCCAAATCCAGACCCCATCCAAGCCGAGTCTAAGTCTCACCAGCTCTCAGGTAAAGTCAGGCACTGTCCAGGGCAGCAGAATGTGAGAGGCCGAGGGGCTGAAGGCTTTTATAGAGCTCTGAGTGTTCCCCTACAAGTGAAACACGCGGCAGGAACGAGGATTAAATTATTTATTAGCAAAACATCTCCTCCATTTGGATTCTGTTCCCAGTGCTTGGCATGTTCTGCTTGACTCACGATTTCTGATAAGCATCTTTTAATTATAACATCGGTCCCCAGCGGGGCACATAAAAGTCTGACAGGGCTTAAGCCGCGCTTTACCTGTGYGAGGCGGGTAATAAAGGACTTATTCACCCCGAGCAGGGGCCCGCGACACGGAAGGGTGACCCGTGAGTCAGGAGCTGTCACGGCACGGCTCTGACCCCTCCTGCTGCACATTTCCAGCTGAAACACGAGCAGGTGATGGGAAGAGCCAGCTCAGAGTCACAAATTGCGCCCGGTGACGAAGGGGTTGGTYCCGTGCGTGAGCGGGTGAGGGAGGGCAGGGACTGACACGGGTTTTCCAGGGAATTTCTGGCTGCNGTGGGGACACTTTCCAGGGATGCTGGAGGTCCCCGGGGTGGGGGGACAACACTGAGCWCCGTGCCAGGCTCTGGGGTTCATCYCGGGGATCCTGAATGCCAGCATTGCCTGCTCCCTGCCAAGATCCCTGCCTGGCACACTCCGCCTCAGAGTTTGGGGTTAAAAGCGGTGAAAGAAGGAATTCCCGGTGCAGGGTTGCCCCCAGCTCTGGTGGCTGCTCCCAGGGAGGACTGGAAGGGTCAGAGCCACCTCTGTCCCCTCCCAAAACTCAGCCCAGTCTGRGGTGAGTGAGGCCAGACACGGCTTTTCCCTGGCTCCATCCTCACCCCACATCGCTCCTGCCAGGAGGATCCCGGCTGATCCCATGTCCTCAGTCCCAGATGTTCCATGTGGCACAGGGCGGTGACCAGGATGCCGCAGGGAATTTGAGGGGTGACACCAATGAGGGGTGACCCCCGGGGCACCGATGAGGAGTCGSGTCCTACTCACCTCCGCCGCCCCCGGCTGCCCTCACTCACGGCCCGGTTGCAGCCGCATCTCCTCCGGTTCACGGTGCTGCCCTCAGACGCTTCCCACCCTCAGCTCTCACCCTCAGCCCTCTGTCCTGCCCTCAGCCCCTTCCTCCTGCCCTCAGCCCTTTCCTCCTGCCCTAAGCCTCAACCTCCTTCCCTAAGCTCTGTCCCTCAGCCCTTTCCCGCTCCTTCAGCTCTGTCCCTCAGCCTTTTCTCGCTCCCTCAGCTCGGTCCCTCAGCCCTTTCCCGCTCCCTCAGCCCTTTTCTCGCTCCCTCAGCTCTGTCCCTCAGCCTTTTCTCGCTCCCTCAGCTCGGTCCCTCAGCCCTTTTCTCGCTCCCTCAGCCTCACCCTCCTTCCCTCAGCCCTTTCCCTCAGCTCGGTCCCTCAGCCCTTTCCCGCTCCCTCAGCTCTTTCCCTCAGCCCTTTTCTCGCTCCCTCAACCTCACCGTCCTTCCCTCAGCTCTGTCCCTCAGCCTTTTCTCGCTCCCTCAGCTCTGTCCCTCAGCCCTTTCCCGCTCCCTCAGCCCTTTCCCGTTACCTCAGCTCTGTCCCTCAGCTCGGTCCCTCAGCCCTTTCCCGCTCCCTCAGCCCTTTCCCGTTACCTCAGCTCTGTCCCTCAGCCTTTTCCCGCTCCCCCAGCTCGATCCCTCAGCCCTTTCCCGCTCCCTCAGCCCTTTCCCAACTCCTGCCCTACAATAACAAAAGGAACGGCCGGAGCGCGTGAGGCGCCGCCGCGCCGCAGCCAATGGCAGCCGGTCTTCGCCCCGCCAGCCAATCAGAACCGTTCTTTCATGGCCTGAGCCCCCAGACGCGCCCCACCCCCGGCGCCGCCGGGTCCCAGCGACCGCCCGGTCCCAGAACCACCGGGAACGCGGCGGGTCCCGGTCCCAGAACCACCGGGAACGCGGCGGGTCCGGATCCCCGCAATCACCGGGAACGCGGCGGGTCCCGGTCCCGGTCCCGTTTCACCGGGAACGCGGCGGGTCCGGGTCCCGTTTCACCGGGAACGCGGCGGGTCCGGGTCCCGTTCGTCCCGGTCCCAGAACCACCGGGAACGCGGCGGGTCCGGATCCCCGCCGGGAACGGGAACGCGGCGGGTCCCGGTCCCGGTCCCGTTTCACCGGGAACGCGGCGGGTCCGGGTCCCGTTTCACCGGGAACGCGGCGGGTCCGAGTCCCGTTTCACCGGGAACGCGGCGGGTCCGGGTCCCGTTTCACCAGGAAAGCGGCGGGTCCGGGTCCCGTTTCACCAGGAACGCGGCGGGTTCGGGTCCCGATCCCGGTCCCGTTTCACCGGGAACGCGGCGGGTCCGGGTCCCGTTTCACCAGGAAAGCGGCGGGTCCGGGTCCAGTTCCACGGGGAACGCGGCGGGTCCGGGTCCCGGTCCCACAATCACCGGGAACGCGGCGGGTCCGGGTCCCGATCCCAGCCCCGCTCTCACCGGGAACGCGGCGGGTCCCGGTCCCGCGGCGGATCCCGGTCCCGCTCCCACCGGGAACGCGGCGGGTCCCGGTCCCGTTTCACTGAGAACGTGGTGGGTCCCGGTCCCGGCCCCACAACCACGGGGAACGCGGTGGGTCCCGGGGGGCTGTAATGGGGTAATTGGGATGGGGGCACTGGAATGGGGTAACTGGGATGGGGTAATTGGAATTGGGTAATTGGGATGAGGGCCGTGGGATGGGGTAAATGGGATGGCGGGTACTGGTATGGGATAACTGGGATGGGTAACTGGGATGGGAGAGCTGGTATGGGGTAACTGAGATGGGGGTCTGGGATGGGTTAACTGGGATGGGGTAACTGGGATGGAAGGGCTCAGACGGGGGTAACTGGGATGGGGTAATTGGGATGGAAGGGCTGGTGAAAAGCAATTTGGACAACAATCTGGACCAAATATGATCTGGAAGCGAGGGCTGAGCTGGCCCTTGGTCTGTGGGCTCCGAGTCACCACACTGGGAACTGGGAAAAGTTTGGGAAGAAAATCCCTAATAAAAAAAAAGAGCTCTCCCGAGTTAAATTTCACAGTGAAGAGTTTTTTTTTTTATTTAGCTAAAATGAGACACGACAGAAATAAATTCCAGCGGTGAAGAAAACGAGGATGAATTTCCTTTTTTTTTCTCTCCAATTCTCCGTCGTGGCTGTATGAGGACACACCGGGGCAACACGAACAAACAACAATTTTATATTTTAATGCACCTCGTGGGAGGTTTTTCTGGCAAAGCGAGGCAGAAGGAGCCAGGTCACCCNAATTTGTTAAGGAACGAAAAACGCAGCAGATTCTCCGTGGCAAATCCATCCGGGTAAAAACCACCAAAAAAAGATCCCCCGGAAGAACAATCCAAAAAAAGTTTAATACAACAGAGAGTATCAAAACATCGAAGAACACACTAAGTCTGCATTTTTTCCATCGGGGATTCCCACCGTAGCTCCCGACGGAACGAGCACCCCCCGCCCCCGGCAGTCCCGGCCCCTCAGTCGGTGGCCTCGGGATCCGTCTGTGCCATGTACGCGTCCAGCTCGGCGTCCAGATGTCCCTTGGTTTTGGACATGTAGGCGTCCAGCTGGTTGTCCAGCTGCTCCTTGGTCAGCGCTGGCCGTGCCGAGCCTCTGCCGCGGCCCCGGCCTCTGCCACGCCCGCCGAAACCGCCCCGGCCCCGGCCGGCCATGCCGCGACCTGTGGGGATGGAGAACGGGTCACTGCCTCCAGCCAAGGATTGCCCATCCAGACAGATGTTTGACTTTTTCTCATCCCAAAACCTGAGAATTCCTCAATCCCAGCCCAACAGGAACATCTGGCTGCAAGAATGACATCCCCCCTCCAACATCTGGCTCCTGGGTTTCCCCTCCAACCCCTGCCTCACTTGTGTTTTACTGTTAAAAAAATAACCAGGTCTTGGATAAATGGTTTGAATTCCAGGCTTGGGATTATTGGGGCTGGAAATTTCATGCCCCAGCCTTAACCAGGGAAGGATTCCAGAATTCCAGCAGAATTCCAGCAGAATTCCAGCAGAATTCCAGGAGTTATTGCCCAGCACTCACCTCTGCCGCCGATCCCTCCCCGGCCCATGGCGCCCCGGCCCACGCCGCCTCTTCCCGGGCCCCCACGGCCCCTGATCCCGCCTCTCCTCAGGCCCATCCGGGGGGCAATCCCTCTCCCTCCTCGGAGCAGGGCTTGACCTTCGATAGAAAACCAAAAAAAGAGTGGTTTCAACCCGGGGAACGGCATGATGGAGCTGAGGGGATGGCAGGGATGGGTGGGCACCGACCTCGGAGCGCGACCCCTCCTCGGATCATGGCCCGGGCGCCGCGGCCCCGCAGAGCCCCCCGGGGCATCCCYCGCTGTCCCAGTGCCAGGCCCCGGCCACCCAGAGCTCCACGGGCCAGCGTCCCCACCGGCCGGCCCAGCCTCGCCTGGATGTTGCTCTTCCCGAGGCGTTGCTTCAAGCTCTTCTGGAAGAGAAGATTTGGGAAGGGACAGAGAGTCATGCAGCAATCTGGGATYGGGGACACGACACGGGCCAGCGCTCCCAAACAATCCAGGGAGTTTGTGCCACGGCTCTAYTGAGGGAGGAGGAGATGGGGTGGGATTTTAAGAGCTGGCACAGACTGAGAGGTGAAGCACTCRGCAGCTCCCGGACCCCGGGATGAGCCATTTCTCTGGAAAAATAGAGAGGAGATGTCAACAGCCAGCACCCRACACCCCCACGCCAACAGCGACAATGTGTTACTTAGCCGAGGTAAAAGATGGAATTTTCTCCAAGTCTCTGCCAGGTGTCTTGTTTTTAGGATTATGGAATGCCTTGAGTTGGGAGGGATCCATCCAGGCCAACTCCAGACCCTCCAGAGTCACCCCAAAATCCCCCCCTGTGCCTGAGAGTGTTGTCCAAATATTCCTGGAGCTCTTCGGGCTCCTGTTCAGTGTCTGAGCCCCCTCTGGGGAAGAACCCTTTCCCAAAATCCACCTAAACCTGTCCTAAACGGCTCCAGTCATTCCCAGGGTCCTGTCCCTGCTCACAGGGAGCAGAGGTGTCCCCTGAGTGTCCCCTGCTCCTCAGCCACTTCACACCCTTCTCCATCCTCCTTCAGACACTCTCCAACACCTTTTTTTACAGAATTCCAGACCCATTTGGGTTGGAAAAGACCTCACAATCAAATCCAATCCCCACYTTATCACCAGCCCAGAGCACTGAGTGCCACGTCCAGGCTTTHCCTGGACACCTGGGCAGCCCTTTCCAAAGCCTGACCACCTTTCCCAGGAAAAAAATTCCTCCTGTGTCTGACCTGATGCCTTTTTCTCTGCTCCTAGAATGAGCCAGACACGGTTAAGGGGATAAATGGATTTTACCTCAGTATTTAACAGGATCCTATTGGTGAAATAAGGGGAAATGCACGCCCCATGTGACACGTACACAATTTTTATACAGTGCTAATTAGCATATCTGACAAGGATTCCCTGATTAGAAGCTCAATAATTCTAGCCCTGATTAGAATCCCCCTGATTCTAAAGATGAGGCTTGAACCCTTTTTACAAAACTATTTTGAGAAAGAAAGCTGCAACCTTGGTTTCTAGAGAACCACAATTGTGTGAGGGCTTCTCTCTGCGGATGTTTGGTCTCCCTGCCAGGCAGAATCTCCAAAGCTACAACATCAGCTACAGTACCTGCAGCTCCGATTTTTAGCTACAGTATCAGGCCAAAAGTTACAAATATGGATGCTAAGGATACAGAGAATATAGAAAAGGCAAAAATCATGCTGATCCTCCTGTCAGGGAGCTGTGGAGAGGGCAAAGATTCCTCCCTGAGCCTCCTTTTCTCCCCACACTCACGCTCCATCCCATTCCCTTCGCTGGCCTCTCTTTCCAGAGCTGTTTTTTCCACATCCTGCAGGACCCAAATCCCCTTTTCCCCTCACCTGTTTGAGCTTCAGAGCAGCCTGCACAGACGGTCTGTTCTCCATCTGCTGGGCCAGGCGTCTGTTTCGGGCGCTGGCCAGCTGCTGCTGCTGCATGGTGGCCCGGATATTCACCGGCATCGGCTGTTTGTTCTTCAGCATGTTAGTGAAGCTTCAAGGTCGAATAAAACGGGGTTTAATTAAAGCTTAAAACACACAATTATCGGCATTTTATGGTGCTCGAGTGGGGCTCCAGCTCCCATGAACCTTATGCAAAGAGTGGCATTTATGGGATTTACGGATTCCTCGCTGGAGCGAGGACTTGGAGAGGCAGGAATGAGGTGGAAGTTTTCAGTGGGAATGAGAAAAGCTGGAGGTTAGTGGGTTTAGAGATGGCAGAAGGGCTGACGACCAGCAGGAAGCGGGGATGGCTGTGACAGGGGGGGAGAAACAGGACAGCAAAAGCCAAATCAACCCCCTCCCCAAAAAAAAAAAAAAAAAAAAAAAAAAAAAAAAAGAAAAAAAAAAGAAAAAAAAAAATCTGGGAAAAGAGTCAGAATTCCAGGCCGGGAGGTAAATTGGAGAGACGCCATGCTCGGCGTCCTCCGGTTGGAAATGATCATCTTAAAGCCTTTTCCAACCTTMACAATCCCACGATTCTACAAAATTCCACCACCCAGAGCATCTCTTGAATGGCTCCCAACTGTTCTGCTGAAATGAGGCCACTTGGGAATTCATTTGGTGCTTTTATCTCTCATTTAAAGAGCGAAAACACGGGGCGAGGTGGTCACTAAAGCTCCCGAGCAGCTCCCTGGGAGCTGGAGAGTGAAATCCATCCTCTGAAAATGAGGAATGGGGGCTGACAGACAGGAAAAATGCCAGCAAAGCACCTCTGAGCTCAGGCCAGCATTGTCGGAGTGAAAACTGCCCCAATCCCAACACTTTTAACCCCAAAACGCTCAGCGGGAGAGCGGGGGACACCCATTAGTCATCACAGAGGAGCCACAAGTGACAAAAACCCAGCGAAATGACCCACGGGGAAAGCTCGAGGACAGACAGAGATGGAGGTGAAGCGAAGCTTTTGCCTCTTACAAAGCTCAGAAGAGCCTTYGGGCCGGTTCCGGGGCCGCCGCCGGCCTCTTACAGAGCCCACCCAGGCAGGTTGGACCCTCGGGCGCGGCAGCAGAGCCAAAATACCAATGTCAAAACATGTGGGAGAGACAGGGAGGGTGTGAGGTTGGTCTCTGCTCTTACAACACATCCCACCGGATTTTACGTGGCGAATCAAACACTAAAAGCACGGAGAAATCCCTCCGGAATTTTGGCCCTTTTAACCTTGCAGGGGGGTCGGAGGTTAAGGCAGGTGTGGAGGCACCCGCTCGCTCGACGAGGTTAAAAGAGGGCGGAAACCACGGTGGGTTTTGGATTTGGATAGTGAGAATTAAGTAAAAAAAAATAAAAAAATTAAAAAAAATGGTTTCTTAGGAGCTGAAGGTGCCGTTGGCTTCCTCACCGCTCGTTCAGAGACATCTTGGTGGTGCTCTTTAGCACGACCTTCGGTGCTGACTGTGCAGCCATCTTCAGAGAATCTGCAAAACAGGGCCCAAAACACAAACATTCAGACTTTTCTTATCCATTTAGACCAGGAAATTCTAAAAATCCTCTCCTTGGGTGGATGAAATCAAGATTAGGGCAGGCTATGTGTAATAAATTAATTTATTTTCAGTGTGTAATAAATYTATTTTAGCCCTCGGCCACAATTTTTCAGATCTGATGCTGGGATTTTTAATGATTCCTACTCCTCTCCCAGTTTCAATAAATCAGAGAGTTCCTATAGCAAATAATTCATCAATATTAAGAGGAATAATACAAAACTCCCAGCAGCAAGACCGCAACCAAATGCCATCTTCAGAGCAAAGATTAAAAACACAGCCACAGACATCAAATTTATACGATTATCATAAATTTATATAATTAAACATTAAAAAAACCTCCATTCTATGTGGGAAACCAAGAGTGAAGCAAGTTATACATATTGTATTTATTTATTTTTTATGTTTTCTAGCCCTCTGCCAGGCTTAACGAACCCGAGAGTTGCTTTAATTCACCCTCAGTAAAAATTTTTATAGCCTTATGTCTTTTTATAGCGAACACCTTATCATTTTCTGAGTAATAACACAAAAATACAGCTGTAAATAGCAACCAAATGCCTTTAGCACAGCGACACCTCCACATTTCCCATGGTTTTAGCATTACCAAGATGCAAACCCCGATTTAAGGGGCACAGGGCACAAAATTTGGAATAAAAAAAACTCAAAATGATGCTACAAAAGCATCATATCCTTCAAAAACATGGAGCTTCCACCTGCTTCAGGGCAGGGATTTAAATCCCCCCCAGAAACATGCTGAGTTCCAATCCCCAAGCTCTGCAGATCAATTTATTAATTTATTTTATAATTAGCAGCAAATTTAACGGGTGGATGACGGCCGGGATGCGCTCACCCTATAAAACCCTCAAAAACCCCGCTTTATTGAGAGGATTGACAGCCAGAAATTAGACAACASACAGCCTTAATACTATTTCCAATTATTTTTAACCATTTTAATATAGATTTTTATATTTATATTATTTATATATAAACAA